AATAAGAGATATTAAAAAACTGAACTCCAAAATTATTACTGGGGAAAAAAAGTAAAATGAAGCATGAAAAATCAGTAACATATCTGTCCCTCCCATCAAATCAGTAACTTCAACATTTTTTTGCAATTCACTTCTATTTTGCCTTCAGAAAAAGAAGCTAAAGTGAAGATCACTTCTTCCCTTTGGTACTCAGAGGCACTGCAGAGCTGCTGTAACTATACACCTAAACAGCAGCAAATTACGTAAGAAGCATATTGCACGAAAGCAAGTACGCTGGTGAAAGGTAGACCCCTCTCTGGGGCAACACAACATGTTTACTATACCATTCACTGTCTGGGTACTTACAAAAACATTATAATTACAAATTATACAAACTGGAAGTTTTCCAGAATGACAAACACTCAAGTCAAACAATACCAGGAAAGGTGTTCATGTGCTGCAATCATGGGTGACAAATCTTTACAGCACCTGATGCCTTTTTTTTTCCTAATGCACTGTTGCTCCTCATCATTGGTGCCAGCCTGTATCTTTGTCAGAGTGAAACGAGACCACCCATGACCATTACTCACTGACTTCGCTGCATTCCACCAACTTGAACAGAAGTGCACAGCTTTAATAATAATTAAAACATACATTATCTTCTCAGATGCATCCATCAAGTCTTTTCGAATTACTTCCATCAAATAGCAAAAAAGTCAGGCATTTTAAACAAGTGGTTCACTAAAATTACTTTTAAGATGTAAAAGTTTGCAGCACAGACACAGCCTTGCTACAAATGTCTTGAAAAAGGGTCAGCAGCCTTTGCAGGATGGCATCCCATTTCTGTTTTCCAAATTACAGGGCAAGTATTTTGGCAAGCAGCATTCAGGAACTGAGAAATACTGCATCTCAGAGACAAGCTGCTGGTGGTCAGCCTGTATGTGTCTTTGTTCAAAGACAGGGTTTCCATTTCATTCTGCTCTTCAAATTCAAAAGAGTGAAAAGCTGCTGATTCTACAGATGCCACAGTTCCTAGCAATAAGCTACACTGAGTATCATTCAGAGTCAGCGAAGACCTCTTCATTACATCATCCACATGCTGTAACTTAATCTCTGCAATCTATTCATTCTCTAGAAGAAAGCTTTCCTTTGCGTTAGTGGAGTGAATGCTTTTGAGAGACGAGCAAACTCCAAGAAAAGTTACAAAAACACACAAAAAAAACAAATGTCTAAATATGCTTTGGCATGACCTTCTCCTCATTAAGTGGTAATTCTACTTATTTCCCCATACACTTACTGAGGCAAACGTTTAGCTGATACAGACTGACACAGGGCTACTGAATTCAGCCCTGCAAAATGCACAATGTTTCAGAATTTACTCCCTTCATAAACAAAAAGGTTATTTTAACTCTTAACAACTCTGCTGTCTTTCACTAGAAGTCACGTATCAGAACTTTGGTGACAACTGTACCTTTCAAGTTCACAATCTGAGAAAACTTCAGCTGTTGTATCTTATCAAAGGCTGCATCTACATCATCCAGTGTAAAGAGTGTGAAATCTTCAGTATTATGGCGGGACTAAAACAAATAAAAAAGTATAGAGCATTCATGAACCCAAGCACTCTACCATATCAAAGATGTTATCTACGGAAGTATCAACTTAAATATACCTGGTAGAGATCATACATAAACATCTGTCCCATTTTATATACAGGAATAGTTGCATAAATGGCACAATTCAAGCCCATTTTCCCAACTGCATATGGAAGAGCACCAAGGTGTAGAGGGTCAGGATGAGAAAGAAGAACAGCATCAACCTGGTGTACATGTCTACAAAAAGAGGGACAACAGAAGTTGGTGAAAAGAGTTCTGTACGGTGTTACATACTCCCTATTAGAGCTATTTTGAGAATGCATACACAGTCTGAACAGAAAACAAGAAAACTTAAATCCTTCCAAGTTTAGAACAAAGTTTTTAAAACCATAACCTGAAGTCACAGTATTTCCAAACGTTCAAGTATTTAAAAATGCAAGTGACTGCTGAAAACATAATTTCAATGTCTGGAAGACATGAGTTTCACATCAAATTCTTGATTAAAAAGACCTTAATATATCCTTGGACACCAGGAAGTACATTTACTGAGGGGCCCAAAATAAAATCAGTGCAGGCATGCTACAAATCATTTATATATCTAAAAACCTAAAACAGACTACAACTTTTCCAATGAGAAAGACCAAGTAACAGGACCAAAGACACAATCCTTAAATTGATAAGGATCAAATCAAAATATATTTATTTAAAAACAGAAAAGGTCAAATACCTCACTTAAGAGAGGTGACACACAAATTTTGGGGGTTTTATTCATTTTAAAAACAGATTTTTTTCCTTTTCCTTGCGAAGTGTTGCATAAAATAAGAACTCGGACTAAAAACTTCCTACCTATCATAATGAAAAACTTGAGAGCATAAAATGTAGCAAGTGAAAATACAGGTTGGGGTGAAAGCTTTTTGTTCCCTCAGAGTAACTGGGGCACACACATTCTTCTTGATGGCTGTTATTAAATAGGAGATTTTATCTAATTGTTTCCCAAATAAGACACTTGAAAAATTTTATAACTTTTCCTTAGCACATAATAATCCTCACTTCAGAGACTTCAAACGCTACAAGTGTGTCCAGGCTAGAACTGTGAATCTATAAAAACAGCATCACAAAGCTTAGTTTCTTTCAGGAATTCCCATGTTTCAGGCCTAACCTTGTAATCAGTGTTTGCATCAGCAAAGATCCTTGCTGTAATCCTGCAGAAGTTCAATATTAAAGTCTAGACAGGGTTATTTCTTTGCAGGGCTGGGAAAATTAACGGAAGCCGTTTTCCTGAATGACAGTCTATTCAACTTGAGAGCGTTAAACTACTTTGTATTCAGCCTATGTACACTGAGGATTCTTAGTTAACTACTCTAAATTAGTTTAGAGCCAAGGTCACTCTCCCATAAACTCTGCTCTGTGTCAGGCCTAGGAAAAAAAAAAAAATATCCAAGCCAAAACAAACACAGAACATTTTGAGAATCACAGTTAACAGATGTAACTCATTAGACTCCCAAGAAAAAAAACAAGTTTCTATGGGAAATGTTTCAGCAGCGTAATTCCCTTCATATAAAACACACTTCAAACAAACAAACAAAAGAACAATTCTGAATTTAACATCACCATACACATACCATTGCATGGTATTTTGAAAACTTTCAGAAAAGGACAAGACCTATTAAAAAAAAAAATTGTGTGAACTGAACTACTTACTTCCTTAGAGAATCAATAATATCCATAGAAAAGTTTTCATCCCAACCACAGTCCAAAAGAAAACGAAATTCATCTACTTGCAACAGATAGCAAAGGGCAGATTCCTCCTGCACCCCTGAAAGCGTAGTCAACTTGATAATCGATGTCATTTTCCTCTCCAAGTGTTTAATCTCCCAAAGAACTAATCTGAATGGGGGAAAGAAAACGTATCGTTGACTAATCCAAAGGAAAAGCCTATTTATTCAGCTCTAAAGCCATACGTTTCTGAGAACGCGCAGGGTAGATATTGTGAATACTGTCCAATACAGCTACGGGCTATCAATTAAGACTCAGACATTAACTTTTGATCGTTGTAGGTCTTTTGGCATCGGAATGAGGGTTCCTTACAATAATAAAAAAGGATCACTGGGAGCAGCGCAGTTAACA